GACCCATGGCCAAATGAGAATGGCCCTGCACTGAATGGCCATCACTGTTTGCTAAAGCATCGCCTTTTCGCCTGCGAGGTGGAGCAGGCAGACGGAGACTTGCGTTTTGAGCCGGTGCCCAACGAGACCCAGGCAAAGTCGCTGCGCGCCCGGGACACCGAGCTGGAGTTGGTCAGACGGAACGGCCAGACGTGGTTGTTTTTGGAAGATTCTAGGGGTTGACCTTCCATTCTGATTATCCATCGCTCTTTCAAAAACCGGCTGTTTCCCTTGGGTTTCTGATGGTTTCCTGAAAAGAAGCATCCCTGGAAAGAATGGGGAAGGTACCCCTAGAAAGATGGCAAGGTGTGCGGGGCAAACATGAGCGCCCGACCATTCGCAACTTGAAGTTGTGGTCTAGCCGTCTTTTTACGCCATAGATTCCCATCACAGCCACCAATTCACGATTTCACGATGTTCAACCCCCCCCTCCCCCCCAGAGCCGAAGAAGCCCGAGCCGATGAAGTTGACTTCGCCACACCATGGTCAAATGGCCGTGGCTCCAAAAACCGCTACCCAAAATGGAAACCTGGTAAGTGGAAACATTGACCGACACCCGCGGTTTGCCCCTCCTGTTTAATGTTGAGCCACACCCAAATAGGTACCCAAAATGGAACCCATGAAAGGAACCCGTGGTGCCAAGGACAACCTGAGCTCTGAAATGGGAATTCTATCCGGACGGACTAAAAGTTCGGCCGGTTTTTCGGGTTTCATTTGAGTATGGGTCAAAATTAAACCACCAGGGGGCCGCAGGTTTTAGTCTACTTCTCCATTTACCAGGGTTCCATTTTGGGCACCTATTTTTGACAGCCATTTTAACCTTGACCCGAGGCCTGTCACAAGGGCACGGCCCTGCAATTTGCCAATGCCGCCGGGGCGGACGAGGAGCGGATTTTCTCGTCTTTGGCACGCTCGTTCTTGTTTGGGATAGGTCCCACCCCCCAAAAAAAACAACATAGGGGACCGGGATTTTGGGGATTTGGGTTTTCTGGTCGGTTTCCCTTTTACGGGCACGCCATCTTGTAAAAGGGACCAGCAAGGGATGGAGTGAAAGAGAGAGAGACAGAGAGAGTGTGCCATAGGCGAGCCTCAGAAAGGACACGTTATTGGCTTGTCACCCAGGTTTATCCTGCAGATTCCCTCACTGGTTGCAGATCCGTTCAGCTTGCAAACTTGCAACATGCAAGGAGGGTTTACTTCAGGGGGAAGAAGCGAATGCTTTGTTACTTCTCTTTGTCCATCCATCTCAGCAAGTTGCGGTGTGCCCTTTTAGGGCGATGTGACTCGCATCATGTTGATTGAGTCATTCAGCTGGCAGGTTAGGGCTTGGCTCTACTTGCCCCTTACAGAAAATGCCCCAGGAGGCCCGCCGCAAGCTTGAGCATTACAAGGCACACGGCTTCGCAGATATCACCAGCGGGTCGGGGTGGGTCCATGGGTTTTGATTTTCGCGGGTTCATGTGCAGGGCAGACACCCTTCAAGCGGTGGGACACAACACGCCGCTGCAATAGTAGTGCTGGTTAGATTAAAAAATGCCGGGGGTTGCAGCAGTTGAGCATTGGAGACTATCGTCCCAATGGTTGCTTTGCGTCGCGACCCATAAAGGTCATTATCGTTAGACCTGCCGCAAATCAACTCAGCAACATTCACAAAGCAACCTCGCCCATGTTGGCCCGCCCCAACGATTGCGCTTGGCAAAGCCAAGCCCACACCGAGCCCCAGCTGACCCTCACACAAATCCCAACCAATTCACAGCCAACCCAGGGGTCATTTTCACCAAGCTCCAAGACGACGCCCCAAAATAATGTTGTGCTAAGCCCACGAGCCAGGGCAGGTGAGAGGGAGCCATGTTAGCCTGACCCAAGACCAGGTTCCGTGATCAAGGGGTTCAAACATGACTACTCTTGATTTCCACCTCCAACCACTTCACGTGAGCGCAGGTAGTCCAGAATTCAGATTCTGCAACGCCCTTTTAACTTTTTGGTTGAACCCGTGGGGATTTTCCTTGGATTGAAAAAGTTGATCTTTTGCCAGGGGTCAACCGCAACCAAGGCTCATTTCGAGAGTCGGCAGGCTGCCATGCGGGCCACAAACCCATGTGTTTTGATGGGCGAGGGGGCGTGCTTGTAGGAATCAGGGCATGGTTTTTTGAGACAGGAATATGGGACCTCCGGGTTTTGAGCCCCGAAATTCCCGTGACCAACTGTGACTTGCAGGGTTGGGTCCAACTTGGGAGCAGCCCCAGGCATGTTGTCTTGCTGCTTTGACTGCTCAACTTGGATCCCTCGTGCACCGCAAAGGTGGAGATGAAGCAGTTCGAAGACATCATCGGAGACCTCAAGGCTCGGCCCCACGTGCCGCGGCGCCGGGGGCCTTAGGACCCTTAGGAAGTGAGAGGCGGTTTCAGCGGAAGGAGGTCGTTCCGTGGATCGGTGGATCCTGGAAGGTTTGTTTTTCTTCTTTTTTTCTCCATATGGAGCCTCCAACCAACCAGTGGAAGTGGCCAGGTGCGTTGATGATCATCTCAAAAACACCTTCAGCCTCCGATGATTGGCAAGAGGCTAGCTGATTGCTAGCAAGAGGCTAGCTGATTGCTGGCAAGAGGCTAGTACTTATGGTTGTTTGCGTTATCAGCTTGCCATGGCACCGGTGTAAAGGTGGCTGGTGAATTGGAAGGGCAGCAGTTGGTTTGTTTCAGGAAGCGTGTTGCTGTAGGTGTGAGCCTCGCGTACCGTGGGTTTCAGCGGGATGGCGGACGCCCGCTTGGTTTTGTCTCTTTGTAGCCTTGATCGCTTGGGGACCCTTCCAAGTTGCTTCTTGGCTTCAGTTGAAATTTCATTCGTGGGGCCGAACGACAGGCCGAGTGACAGGCACGATGCAGCCCTGGTGTCATCTCTGCGCCCGAACCAAGGCCCGGCTGGGCCCAGGCGCAGAGGGACGCCACCGGTCGACTGGTGGCGGCTGGTTTTTCTTGAGGCAGGCCAAGTAGGATACAGTTGAATTCAAAATATATAGATCTGTGTGATCAAGGACCTATTTGTTGAGCACACGTTCCCCAACACTGTGTTCCTTGCACTTGTGTATTGAGACGAGCCGTTTTGGTGTCCGTGAGGGTGGCTGGCTGCCCAAGCAACGCAGCTTTGCGCCATCAGTTAATGTATTAGTGGAGATCTGTTCCAGGTGGGTGTTCCATTCGGCCTGGTGGTTGTTCATTGTGTGCCTCAAGGTCCGCTGGCTGAATGCTGTCTTGCGTGTTGAGATCTGGCAGCTGAGCATCGATCCACCCATCAGCCGCGGCCAGGGTCACAGTGACGCAGTGAGAGCATCTCCGCTGAGGTCTCTGCAATTCATACGCCTCTGTCTTTTAGGCTGGTTTTCTTTTTGGTTTCCCTTCAAAACCAACCAAGAAGGGGTGCCCCAAGAAAAGACAGACCCATAGCACTTCTGCCGCATGGCTTGTTCGCATCAGCTCAAACGGCAGCTTCCCTTTGGACCGAGCCACTGTCATCTCACCAGCGGGGGGCCCGGTGACATGTTGTTGGTGGTGAGGTTGTACCCACAGAAGCTGGTTGACATCCAAATGGTTGGCAGTCATGCGAGTGGCAATTTCTACAGGTGAGACCTTTGGGGCTGCCACACTGCTCAACACGGCGCAGAAGGAGACATTGGCAAGTTGTTGCAACTGTGCAGTAGCAACCTCACCCTGGATGAAACATATTCGAAACAGTGGGATGGTGCGGCTCGAGGTCGCCACTCGCATTACTTTCCATGTGAGCGCAGTTTGGGCAGAGGGGGTGCGGAGGGGAGCCTACCAGCTAGAGGGATGCACGTGGAACAGAGGTTTTCCCTCTCAGCATTTGATGGTTGGCCGCAATTCCTTCCCGCCCCTTTCAACAACTCACGTGTTTGGAACCATTTTGTCATCACCCACAAGCTCCTTAAGCTTCCAGATGCGGCGGGGTGCATTCCTGTCAGTTGCTCCAGTGTTAAAGGCTAAAGCCGCATGCTCCAAGCAGCTTGCGCCGCAGCTGTCCAGCTTGGGCCCGGTGCGCATAGCTCGCCTGCGCGAGCGGCCCACGAGTCCGTCGCTGCACGGCGGGGGGTGGGGAGGGGGGCGGGGATAGGAAGGGTGGCGCAGGCAAAGAAAGTCGATGCCCCAAACGTGCCTGAATCCTAGCTGGGAGTTCTCTTTCACTGCCAACGTTTCGACATGTCACGTCAGCTAGACGGCCGCTTCGAGTTAGGCCATAGGCCAGGAAGCTAAGAGCTCAGAGGCATGGCGGCCAGAGCCTCAGGCGATGAGAAGTGTCGGCAGCCTAGCATGCGGCGCTGGCGCAGTGCCTCATGCTTCGCTTTTGCGGCGTGGCGAAGTACAGAGCTCACGCATGGATTTTGTGCAGACCCTTCGTGCATCATAGTTCTGCTCCTCACCTGGCAGCTAAACTCAAACTGATTCTGGCATCTTCGTGCTGGCTCTGGACTGCCCTGGACTTGTTTGCGAGCGTGATCCACAACAAACGGTAGCAGGGGAACATGAGCATGCATAGGTGTCCTGTTTGGTTGTTTTGCTTAAAGAATCGATGGCCCTGGTTTACCTGGTGGTTTAATCATCTACCAGGGCCATCTATTTTAGGACACCTATGTGAGCATGTGAAAGCCGAAGCTGGTTCTTGAAACTGCCAGCTCCGCAGATTTTGCTCCGATGCGAGTAAGATGCTATTGCGAGGCCGGATGCAAGTCTCATACCGCTTCGCACCCAAATCCAAAGTCCGCCAAACACCGCAGACTTCACCATGAAGCCCTGCTTTTGCTGAGTGCCGGTGTCCCTTGCACTTTTTTGCAAGTTGAGTTCGTAAGAGTTACCGCAGCCTACTGAAAGCAGCGACCTGCAATCAGCCTAAGCAGGCTTTTGGCGCCGGCGCCTGGACCTAGCTGAGCGACTTGTCTGCGGCCGCACGCCATGGGACGTGCGGCGGTCCGCGCGGGGCTGACGCTTGCAGGATGTTTCCTGGCGGGGCCCGGGGTGGGGCGGGGCTCGGGGGAACTGCGCCGGTCCGGCGGATCCGTTTTTGTTTTTGTTTGTAGGTTGTTTTAGTGGTTTCCAATCAACCCACTACAAGATACTCGCTTTTAGCAAACCCGTCTGAGGACAGCCAAGCTTTTTGTCCTGCTGTGTTGGGTGCTTTACTAGGATGAGGTCCGTAGAGGCTATCGTCGTGCGGGTCTGATGTCCACCCCTGACGTCCCCCCGAAAAATCCAGAACAAAAATAAAAGCAAACACACAAACACACAGGCACACACACACACAAAACACACAAACACACAAACACACAAGCACACAACCACACAAACCCACAAACGCACAGAGGCACAAACGCACAAACGCACAAACGCGCAAACGCACAAACGCGCACACACACACAAAAACACAAACACACACAAACACACAAACACACAAACACAAAACACACAAACACACAAACACACAAACACACAAACACACAAACACACAAACACACAAACACACAAGCACACAAGCACACAAAAACACAAACCCACAAACGCACAGACACACAAACGCACAAACGCACAAACGCACAAACGCGCACACACACACAAACACACAATCACACAAACACACAAACACACAAACACGCAAACACACAAACACACAAACACAAACACATAAACACATAAACACACACACACACAAACTCACACAAACACACAAACACACACAAACACACACACACACACAAACACACACAAACCAACAAACCAACAAACAAACCAACAAACCAACAAACCAACAAACAAACAAACAAACAATTAAACAAAAAACAAACAAGCACACAAACACACAAACAAACTATCAAACACACAAACACACAAACAAACACACAAACGAACACACAAACGAACACACAAACGAACACACAAACGAACACACAAACAAACACACAAACAAACACACACAAGCAAACAAACAAACAAACAAACAAACAAACAAACAAACAAACAAACAAACAAGCAAACAAACAAACAAACAAACAAACAAACAAACAAACAAACAAACAAACAAACAAACAAACAAACAAACAAACAAACAAACAAACAAACACACACACACAAACACACAAACAAAGAAACAACCAAGCAAGCAAGCAAGCAAGCAAACAAACGAACAACCAAACAACCAAACAAACAAACAAACAAACAAACAAACAACCAAACAAACAAACAAACAAACGAACAAACACACACACACAAACACACAAACACACAAACACACAAACACACAAACACACAAACACAAACAATCAAGCAAACAGTAGGACCAAAAGGTGTCTTCCTGATCAAGCCCAAACATAAGGATGTTGCCTGACACGAGTCAACTACCAATTGTTTGTGCGTTAGCTGCATTAGCTGCCTAACCGCGAATCTTGCACACGACCTTTCTACTGGACCACTCAACACGCCCTGTTTGCCCAACGAAAAGCGGTGCGAAGGAACGGTGCGTTGTTTGAAGCAAGTTGTTTGGGGTAGTCGATGGCAAGACGTTTGAGGCAAACCACCACGAAGTGGCCTGATCTTTGCTTGAGCCGGGGAGCTCTGAAGTCAACTTGGCAAGTTCGAGGTAAGAAGCCTCGTCTCTTGCTCTTTTTTTTGGGGGGGGTGGGGGGGTGGGGCGGGACTCAGACGGATCCCATGATTCTCTTACCCCAACCTTGCCAATGGGGTGTGGAGCAGTAGCAGGGCGAATCCATGAAACGCGCATGGGGCAGCCCTGAAGGTCGGCACAAGCACCAACACACACACACACTCGCATAGAGACACAAAACTTCCATCTGCTGAAACGAATATTTTTTTCTAAAAGAACATTTCCTTTAAGGGAGCACTGCACAAACATACCTGTCACGCACAGTCATACATCTCAGAGCACACAGCCCGCACTGCCCTTTGGGGGTGGTCTAGTTGAGATGCAAGCGGATGAGCTTCGCCTCATTTTGGTTGAAGTAATTAATGTGGAGCCCGTATGAATCAACCCCCGTTTATTAACACGGTGGTGGGTTTAGTGGGGAGTCAGACCACTTTTGGAGGGGAGCACCTCCCTTTTGTTTAAGAAAAAACACCGGGGTTGATTAATACGGGGTCGACATTTTTATGGCCATGGGTCAAGATCAAAATCGTATTTTTGAGTGAACATCCCAATCCAACCACTAAAATAGGTAACCTAAAATGGGCGGTGAATTCACCGAAAAAAAAGAATGGGATCCCAAAACGTGTTGACCACCACGGCCACTTCCGAAAATGGAGAAAATATCTAACTTCCCCCCCCCCCAAAAAAAAGAAGGAAGAAGCATAAAATGGGTGGTGCAAATGGTATCCCAAAACGTGTTGACATCCACAGCCATATGAAGCGCGGTCAGAATTTACGGAAAAGGAAAGTAGTCTACACTTGGACATCCATATAGCTCAAGGTGCTTGAAACCATAGAAAACGATAGCGGACTCTCAAAAAAACGATACCTTTGTGTTGCAGACCAAACGCTGGAAAACGAAAGGGGACTCTCTAAATTCGAACGTACTTACTGTGAACAGCAAATGATGACGGAACTTCATATGGAGCTCGCCCCGGCCGATCTTGCGCTGAAGAATCCGATGGCCCGCCGCGCCAGGTGGGCCTGGCACCCTCCTGGAGCCAGGTGCCGCGAAGGGCAGGCCGGCCAAGAATGCAGGGAGACAGATCCCTTTCTCACTTCCTGAGTTCATGAACTTTAAGCTTCTTGGGAAGACCATTTTAGTGGCAAATGCAAAGTTTGGACTTTTGTTGGGCCATCCACTGGGCCAGTGAGCTTTTGGTGGTTTTGAACATCACCTTGTTTGGTTTAAAGGTGAGTGTCTCTTGGAGGTGGTGTTTGAAGGGAAAATACAGGCAGCCCACTGATAAGGAAGTTTTGCGCCGGGCCCAAGTGGAGTTTGACACACGGGCTCCTCAAATACCTAGTAACGTGCTGGGGAGGATTCTGAGATTTTAAGAGCTGCCCCCCAGTTGGCCGCCAATGTGACGTGACGCCGTTTTTGGGCCCGATGCTTTGTTGCCAGGACGGCAGGCCTGGTCCTCAATGCATGCTTTGGTGCATTCTGCTTGGATGTTCGGACTTTATCTTATTGCCAACCACTGGGTTTCCATGAAGCCACTAAAAGTTAGTCGCTTTTCGCAGGGCTTCGCAGTCGCCGAGCCACTCTCGCCGTCTTGCCGGCGTCGCAGGCGTCCCGGCCGTGGAGAGTCTGCTGCCGGAGCTTCTGGAGCTCGGAGCCGCCGGAGGCGCTCTGAAAGCGGACGGCGGGGGACGGCTGCCGAGGGATGCGGTGGAAGATGAAAATTTCCTATGGGACCCTTCTCAGTTGCCATAGTGGGAGGGAGGGTAGGTGCGCAAAGATGCGAACATGCGAACGGGGCACCGGGGCACCTCTGCGAACGTTGCACACGCAATAGGACATGGACCTGAATAACTTGGTGGCCTGATTTCTCATGCGGAAATTCGGTTTTTGGCAAGCGCCCAGCTTTCGTGTTGTAAAGTTCACTTGCTGGGGGATGATTGGGGCACACGAGCTCATTTTCCGGAGATAGGCGACAATGTGGTCAGATGTGGTTGTACAGATAGAAATCTTCGAACAGCCCTTGTCTGCTCACAGGACCGAAGGTGTTTGGGAAATCAATGCAGCAACTTACCCTCCCACCAGCTAACTTGGAAGTGCACAGACCCCTGTAGAAAGACTACTTTCCTCTTGGAAAGGGCCTTTTTGCACAAACCCATGTTAGTTGGTGGGAGGGTAGAATCAGCAAAACCTTCTCCCCTCCGACCTAGGCAACTGCCCGCGATTCGCGCAAGTGCCGATTCGGTTTTCGCCAGGCGCTGGACTCGAGGAGCGACTTGAGGCGCGAGTCAGGTGAAGTGAGCTTCTGATCGCAGGTGTCCTTTTGATCGGCTGGTTTGGCTGGAAATACATGGATTCACCACTGGCTTAGATGACCGGGGAATTCCATCTTTACCAAAAAGGACGCCCATGCTTCTGATTGGGCATTAAAATTTGCAAGGGCAGGCAGAGCGCAGCTGGGATGCAAGTACAGCCGGTAGTGGGATTGACGCTTGCCGGCCTTTGGTACTGGGTCACCTGATGCAGACATCAACTGATTGAAGAGTCGGCACAAACCACAACTGAACACAATCCGAGCCGAAGGCCTGCCACGTATGCTTGGAACGTGCCTATTGGGTCCCAGGCAGGGGCAACTATTCGGGCGCAAGAACCGCAAAGGAGCCCTCGGAAATCCTAAGTGCTCGTGTCTTCTTTTTCGGGCGCCCATGGCGTTCTTCCTGGAACCCTGGTGGAACCCTAGTGGAACCCTCGTGGAACCCTCGTGGAACCCTGGTCTCAGGGCCGCCCCGGACCACCCCGGAGCCTGGGCTCATCGACCCCAAAGCTTTCAGCTGGGGAAAAACACCACCAAACGGTTCGGACTTTCGGACGTGCGCTTGAGGAGGTCTTCTCGGAGGTCTCGCCCGACGACTTGTCGACCCTGCGGCTGAAGGCGTGGCAAGAGATGGACGTGGCAGTTACCCCGTAAGAAGGGGGGGGGGGTTGAGACATGGGGGAGGGGGGGAGGTTGGACATGGGGGGAGGGGGAGGGGGGAGACATGGAAAAAACCCTGTGGAACTCAATCCAACCTTCAAATGAAGGGTGGGGAAACAAGACTGGACCCAGCCGCCCAACACTTCCACAACCCAATCAGTCCACATCAACATTTCCCGTATTTCCTCCTTGTGATGGACTTAAACATCACCTTTTGGGCGAGTCAAAGCTGAGTTTCCTCCGGCTGATGTTCTAAAGTTGTTGTTTTTCCACAAGCAATACGCAATTGTCCAAAGAAAAAAAGAAAGAGCATTAAACATTTAAACATGATACATATATATATATATATTAATACATATATCTATATACATATATATGTATACACGTATATTTTCAAAGCCGAAGTCAAGAAAAAACAGATAACATCACCACGAGCCTCAACTCCGGAGCCCCTGATCCCAAGCTCCGCCCATCCGCCAGGTGAGTGACCCCGAGGACCCGGACCACCAGGCAGCCCAGCGCGTGGGGGACGCCATCCAGGCGCCGGCGAGCGCCAATGGCTCCGTGGAGCCCAGCGTGGCGTTTTTCTGTTCTTCTTTTTTTTTGGAAGGGGCGAAGAAAGATGTTTCTCCATTTTCTGAGGTGGCCGTGGTGGTCAACACCGTTTTGGATTGTTTTTTGTTTTTCCCGGTGCACCAGCCTTTTTAGAACCTATTTTAGTGGGGATTGGGATGTTCACTGGGGGTACGATTTTGGATTTTGACCCATGGCCAAATGAATACAGTATGTCATATTGTCTTTTGTTGGTTTTAAAGAGAACCTGTCTCTGCTGGAAAACATTTTCTCGTTTTTTCCAGCAGGCTGCAGCAAATGGAGGCTTGCAACAGGTGCAGCGGCAGGATCTGCACGCTGAGGCAAACGCGGGTTGAGACCCAATTGAATTGGCGGGAACATGAGCGCATTCACGGCAACATGCGTTTGGACAGCGGCAAACCTGAAATCAGTGACACTCTCAGCCGGTGGGCCCAGGGCGCGATGAGCCGACGCCTCTCCGACGCCAAAAATGTGCTGGCGCCATGGCAGGAAAAGTGTCTCCAGAGAAAGGCCTCCCGGCAACGTTTGGTTTCTCAATGGTGAAGCTGCGGGGGGAAGGGCTTTTCTTTGAAGCTTGCAGAAAAAATGCCAGCAGGCAAACCCCTAGAAGCGCCCTTGCGCAAGAAAAATGACCTGACACTTGTCCTTGCAGCAGAGCCGAAGGTCATAGTAGGCAGTATGCCTATTGCCAGCATTGTCGGCAGATTGTTGTTTTGGATTTGTTGTGCGGCATTTCTCGGTACACATTGTTTGTCGTGTATGCTTCGGCTATTCAGAGCAGTCTTCAAGTCGCTTGGAGGCACAGGTGGACGGTCGCAATGGGGGCATCCTGCGGGACTTGCCTCTTGTTGCCATGGCTTTGACTGCAGATATCGTTGCAGCAGGTTTCTATCGGTTGATTCCCCATTCTTTTCGACTTGCACAAGGAAACCACCCAACTGGAAGGGGTCCCACATTCTTGGAAACAACTCTAAGGGTTGATTCCCCATTCTTTTCAACCATGGCTCTCTTCAAAAACCGGATCCGTTTTCCCTGGGTTTCCGGAGGTTTTCTAGAAAGAAGGATCCCTGGAAAGAATGGGGAAGGTAGCACTAGAATGTTTGTTTTCTGTTCAGCCTTGTGGTTGATGGTTTCAGGCTGGGTACCCCCTCAGAGGTCACTAAGTTCGCTCGGAATTGCATGGGACCGCTTCCTCAGCCTCTAGGCATCACGAAATCCGGTCAGTTCAATTTGCAGAAAGCCTTGTTAAACAGCAAGTGCAAATGAGCCATGTTCTCAAAACCCGGGTAGATAAAGGTTAGGCCATGTTTGCCAAACCCGGGTAGATAAAGGTTAGTAAGGGATTATACCAACCATAAATGGGTGCATTCGCCGCCTTCTTAATTGTTTACATGGGTCTGGGTATACCATATTAGTACCAGGTTTTGATTATGACTCAAATGGGGGCGGCTTGCCAGCTTTTAACGTGGTAATGTTGATTTGATGATATGGGTTGGTGCATCCTAATCCTGTTCGTCCATTCCCTTTCCGGGAATGCTTCTTAGATTCCCGGCAAGGAAGACCTCATCACCAACTCGGACGGGGATGCGACTGCAGCCGCATGAGATGTTGCGTCGCAAACCCTCTCATTCGCCTGAGAAGGGATGGTCACTGTTTTCCAGAGCTACCCAGTTACCCACAAGCAACAACTAAGTGGTCAGTATCAAGATGGCTGTTGCCTTGCCGTGCTCCAGGTCCCCAATTAGCAAGAAAGCTCCCGGGTTCAACGAGTGCAAGGCTTTTTCCCAATGTAAGTGGTGGTTCCTTGCAAGTCAGCGGTGCTCTCATGCTTGATGAATGGCACCTGGATACTGAAGGCGATCATGTCAAGCATGCTGCGTTACGCGTTAATCTGCTACCTCAAGACAAGCTCCGAACTGCAAGCCCAACAAGTTGTTGCCCCGTTCTGTTCTATTCCTGCTTTCGTCATCACAGTCGAGGGGCCTTCCTTGCCCGAGCTCGTTGAGGGGCAGTCAGGCTGTTTGCAGGCCTGTCAGGCATTGAAGCTAGACCCTTCAAGCTCACCTTCAAAAGGTCAGGTGGCGTGGACTTGGTATGGAGTTGGGTTTGGGGTCTGAGTCGATTTGAGGTCAACATCCGGATCCGCAAGACCATCAAGTCTCTTGAGAGCCCATTGCCCGTTCTCATGGTGCTCCAGCTGAATATTGCGGAGGCCGGGACCACGTGGGGAAGAAAAATCGTTTGCTCCGTGGCCAGGGGTGGTTCGGGTTGGCGCGCCTGGGGTGTTCCACTTGTGTTCCACCGGAAGTTCGGAGATGGTGCAAGGGGCAGAGACAGATGTGATGATGGAACATCGACCTGGAAGGATGTTAGCGATGCCGCGACTACACGCCGTTGACGTGCGAAGCCCGGCAGGCGCAGCAGAAGGGGGACGGCGAGAGGGTCCAAGTCCTGATGCACATCAGTACTGTCATGCAGGAGGACCGGACACGCATGAACAGGCGGTTGGCAACTGGTCAATGTTTGACAAACCCATTGCTTGAGGCAAAGTGTTTCGTCTCACTCCCCAAGTTCCTGGACTTTTCAAGCGCTGGAAGACCGCGTTGGCGGCAAACAAAACAAATCGGACTCTTTTTCTGGCCAAGCCACTCGTTTGGAAGCAAGTGGAAATGCACATGAGATGGGTATGGTTAAAAATCAAGCACCAGGAATTGGACCGCGGGTTTTGGTCCATGTTTCCATTTACCAGGATTCCATCATGGGTACCTATTTCTGACCCACAGCCAGATGCCAGCTGGGAGCATCGGATCGGCAGGAGTTGGAGAAGAAGGCGTCAAGAGTGCGGGCCATGCTGAACAAGCTGCTGCGCATCGAGGACGAGAACATCCGGACGCCCGGTAAAGCCGAAGTGGTGTCCCTTTTGGTTGCGAACGTAGGTACATAGGTACAAAAACGGTTGTTTTGGTACAAAAGCGGTTGTGTTGGTCGAAAAGTGGTTGTTTTGGTCGAAACATGGTTGTTTGGTAGAAACAATGTTGTTTTGGTAGAAAAAATGGAGGGCGATTCCTGGTTTACCTGGCGGTCTTTTTCTCATCTACCAGGGAAACCCCTGAAAGGACACCTATGTGAAGGTAGTTTTGGCTGGCAACGTAAAGGCCGACTGGCGCTGGCACCGCCGAAAAGTTTGCAAGAAACTATAAAAGTGGCATGGTTCCTATTGCGCGTAGTCGTGAGCTGACTTTGACTTTGGGCGCCAGTTTGCAGGCCCCTTTGGTCACAGGCGCTCAAGACAGGACAGCTCCCTGTTCTGGTTGCCTTTTTGCAACGCAGCTTGTAGTTTCTGGCGGGCGGCGTGACAGCGGCTCCCAGCAGGCGCGGCACTTTTGATCCCCCCGCCTGCCGTGCCCAAAAATTGCTCCGGATTTTGCCCACGAAGGCGTCTCTTTCGCACGTTGCCCTCGCTTGGCACATGGCAAGCGCACCCGTCCACGCGCGCGCATCTCGCCCGCGCATCTCGCCCGCGCATCTCGCCTGTGCATCGCTCAAATGTTTCCACGCCTGGCGCATTGTAATCGCACCCAAACACGCCTCAAGCGTACCCATGTTTGGCACATGGTCAGCGCAGCGAACACGCGATGTTATAGCATTCTGTGAAGAGTTAGATGTTGAAAACTCGATTTGGGCCGACAACCCTTGTAGGGGCGATAGTTTCCCCAATGGAGCCCAAGCGGACAGGAACCGTTTGGAGCCACCCCCATTTGTGACTTCCGCTTAGATATGACCAGATTTGCGAAACATAGACTGAAATTTTGTCGGGCACGATGCGGTCAGATTGGCCAAGCATAGGCTTACGTCGGCTTAAGAGCACACGGCTCAGCACCTGAGGCGTAGTGGGCAGCCGCAGGTTGGCGTGACAGCAGGCCCAAGCGTAGGTGTGCAGCATTGTTCCAACGTTTTTGCGCTGCAAAAAGCGGTGCCGGGCCGCCATTTGGGTTTTGGGGGTCGACAACCCGGCGCCCAGGAACAACATCCTCCGAGATCAGCTGACACCTGTCGAGGTCGCAGGCAGGGAAGCCCTGTGGCAGCATCACTTGCCGCGGTTAGCTTGGCAGAGGTTTTTCAGGGGGGTTGCGAGCAAGTTCGTGGCGCATGTTCTTTGGAAGCAGCTGTTTGCCTTCGCATGCTTTCAGAGAACCACGTTGCAGGCCGGCTGTTAGGGGTCAAACTCCCAGCGAAGATTTTGCCATTCCAAAATGGGATTCTGGGCAGCCAGACCTCTTCAATGGGGGGTGGTTGGGCCACCACAAACCGAATCAACGGCCCCATCGGCAGGTGCTCCCATGGGGGGCGGGGCGCCGCTCATGGCCGCCATGGTGCCATGGGAGCGCCTGGCCCCCGCCATCGCCACCTTGGTGGAGGTGGCAGGGTTGGACTTAGTTTGGAGGGGTTGGGTGTTGGGCTTAGAGGATCGATGGGTGTTCTTGGTCGCTAGGATTTCGGGAGTGCAAGAATTAGATGGGCTATCTTAAAGTTAATTTATTGTTTGAGGGCTAGAGGTGTTGAGGCGAAGTATCAAAGCCGTGGCTGTGGGTCGGCGGTATCGGTGAGAAGGTGATCCTATGTGACAGGTGGAATGGCTTCGCCTTTTCCACCGTTTTCGCTCGCTTCGCTTCACACTTCGGTCCGCTTTTCGCACCGCTTTGCTCGTCAAGTCACGGTGCACTTTGTCCCTTGCTCGCTTCGTCAGTGCCCAATTTACATGGTCAACAAGTACTTCCCCTTTTCGCGGAACGAAAATTGCCTCTTAACATAGTCAAGCTGTTGAGCTCCATGCGCACCTGAATGGTATTCGATGCAACCTCTTCCTCTCATTTGGGGGGACCACTTACGGTATCCTTCGTTTCGTGTCAGCCCTTCTCAAGTGGTAGCTTGCGATGGGTGGCTTGTCATGGGAGGCTGAATTTCAACATGCTTATAGCCTAACTTATAGCTCCAAATTGTATGACGATGCGTGAAGTTTGTATTTTGTTCCCAGGCTCTGTGCCGGAACAATTTGCTTGCATGTTTGAGCCTGGGCGACTGACGGTTTGCAGTTTCGACACCAGCGTCTCCCCACATTCCAAGGGTTCAACCAACTGGCCCTGGGAAGGTGCCCCCTGCTTAAATACATAACGGCTACAAGGGGGATCAAGTTTACCAGGCAGCGCCAGTGGTTGCCTACTCACGGGCTTGGCGTCAGGAGGTCGACCGCCAGATGGTCGCCGTCCTAGGCGCTCAAGCTGATCTGTGGGCTTCGTTGTTCCAGCAGGGGAGGGCCTGCAATTTCCCGTACCAATGCCTCAAGATGGAAAAACAGAGGCCACACCCACCATGCTGCAGCGCATATCGTGTGCTTCAAGATGTTCGAGACAGCAACCTGTTGCTAAGTGTTGTTGTTCATTGGTTGGAGCCAGCAAAATTAGAGTTGAGGACCTAGCAACGTAAAACATTTGCAGGTCATGTTTGAACCCCCCTCCGAAGTGAAACTGCAAGATGCGAGTTTGTCATTGGCACACAGGCCCTGATGATGATGCTCGCTATGAGACCATGGAGCGGATACGGGAGGCTGACGCCCAGTGAAGTCGTTCTTGCGGTGGTGCGTGCGCGGGTTCTGTCAGATTTGCCTTCACGTCCAAAGATGGAGGCGTAATTGCTTGGAGCATCACAATTTGTGTGCGATGGAGTTCCTACGCAACGGGATCATTCCATTGTACATGCATATGCATCTGTACGCACATAAAACACATGCATCAGATTTTTTCTTTTAAAACATAGTTTTCTTTTTTTCCCCGTGGCTGAAGATGTTTGTTTTCGCATGTTTTCGCCAGGTGGCCAAGCAGGCGCGGCTCATCATCGGCGATGTCTACGGGCAGGGCGTCATGGATACCTTCAGTGCGGATCTGACGACGCTCGGCGCATCCGCCAAGAGGGGCGAGTTTGTCGCTGGCTCCACGGTGGTTTCTGATTTCCAGGTCACGAGAGGGCCTGATGTTTGACGTTTGTCGCTTGTAAGCTCCATGATCGTTTCGGCTGGGGCCACTTGAGCCGGCTCCTCGCGCGTGGGGCCACTTACCTTGAGCCGAGAATCGCATCCTGAAAAGCAGCTCAGCTTTTTGTTTGGGGATGTTTGGGGTTTTCGGCCTGAAGCAGTGGCCGCCGACTCCTCTTTTCCACCGTGTGCGAGGCCCGCCTTCCACACCCTGATGTCCTACAAGGCGAGCCGCCCGAAACCCGAGAAGGAGGGAGCCGAGAGCGGCGCGGGCGTGGAGGGCGCGGAGGAAGCGGCCGCGGAGGACGCAGCGGCCGCGGAGGAGTGACGCCGAGCTCGGCGCCGGCCATTTGAAGCAGAAGACTTGACTGAGGCACCGCAGGGGCGAATCGAAAGCAAAAGATCCGAGAGACACCCAAGTGAAGGTCCTATGTGCTTGCAGTCGTGTTCTGCCTTCCACTTTGTGGATGGTTTCCTCACGGTTTCCCTTTCTCGTGGGCGGCGCGGGGGGCTAGGAGTCTTGACTCAGAGAAACCCCCAGCCGCTTGCGGTGGAAAAGGCCGCGCGCTTGATTCATCGTGGCTAGGGGCACTCATTCCATTCCGGCTTCAGAAGGTCTCATTGACCCTCTGGAAGTTGCATCGCAAGTTTGTTTTTCAATTACGTATGTGACACGTGTATCCATGTTTTTAAGGGGGCGAAGGCAGTTGTGGCAGGAACCGAGTGACCAAGGCTCGGGGCCAACGGGCAGGCAGCTCAGGATTTGTGGCAAGACTCTGCACATCATGGCGGCATGCCGCCAAGAGGGATTTTCATTTGGCTAGGGGTAGGAAACTGCCCAACGATGTAGCAATGTTTACATTGTAGCAGTTCAGGGATGCGTATCCCTGCTTTATTCGGTTGCAAAAGCTGGGGTAGATTTGCGAGCATCTTGAAGACGTCTCTTCGCAATAGTCCATAGTTGAAGGCGGTTGGTTTGGCGGATCCTGGTGCTGAGGGTAGCCTGAGCATCCATCACACATCGCTGGAACATGATTGCTCTGGTTTTAGTAGATACAACAAGACATCGACAAGGCAGGCAGAAAGTACTGGAGGAAATCTTGGCCCAAATGCTTAGCAAAGAGGAGGGGGATCTCATATTGCACTTGCATCACTCCGAGTTTGGAGGTTTGACAAGTCTGCTTTGGCCACCTCGGTTTTGAACACGAAACGCTCAACCCGCGGCAACGAGCCAAACACCGCGAGTGGTCGGCGACGCCCCCGGCAGCCAAAACCGCGCTAACGGATCGAGGCCCCAGCGTTGGTAGCAGCCGGCCGGAACCTGAGGCCCTGAAGATGCGCTGGGCGAGCTGTTTGCCGCCCAACAGAACTGGGGTAGACTTAGGATACATTTTACATTTTACCAGTGGCTCAAAGGGAAGCAAGCACTAGAATATACTTTTTTTTTTAACCGGGCCTAAGTCTAACCATGAGAAAGCCGCAAGCGCAGGAACTCAATTCTCCATTTGGCCGTGGCCCAAAAAGGGGTACCATGGTACCTTGGCAAATGGAACCAAGGACTCAAAGCGAACCACACCATTTTTACCTTTTTTGTTTTTCACATGAACTGGGAGGGCAAGCTAGCTTGTGGGGAGAATTCAGAGGGGATTGGGTCACTGGAAAAAATAGTCCAAGTTGCAGAAGGGACAGGTCCAAAGAGAGTGGCAGCGGCAAGACTATGCCGCAAAGCTCCGCAATGTGGCATTCCATCTTGGAAACAAGAATCTAGGATGATCTAGGTGGGCTGGCAAGATCCGTCTAATTACTTTTTTCCCGGGCCTTTCAACATGAACCTGCTTGACTTAGCCAAGCACTATGCGTGTATCATATGCGCAAAACAGACATGCTCACAGATGTATACACATGTTAACCCAACTCTACATGGCTGTGGTTCAAAAAAACGGTACCAACACGGAACCCTGGTAGGTGGAAACATGGACCAAAACCTGCGGTTCCCCTCCTGTTTAATGTTGAGCCACATGGCTCAAAAATAGGGGTCCAAAATGGAACCCTGGTACATGGACAGGTAGACTAAATTTGCGTAACCCCATCTGCTTAATTGTGAGCCACACCCAGATGTCTACATGTTGACCCAAAATCCACATCTAGCTTTCTATGACTTTTTTTTCCGGGGGGTAGCGCCGGCGCAAGCCATGTAGCGCCGGCCGCTCAGGTTGCACCGCCTTCGCTGTGAGGCCCCAGGCGCATGGAGCAATGGGAGCCTGCGGGGTGAGCTGAAGGGTTTCGTTTCACAACAACTTGGTCTTCTCTCGGGACTTGAGTCAGGAGATCCCCACCCCCTTAAAATGGAATTGGGGAGGGGGGTGACCCCTGGAAAAATATGTCTGGTTCCATGTTCCCTTTTATTGGGAAGACTAGATAATTGGAATTGGGGGCCCCAGCAGGGGGGATGTCAGGAGGGCATTTTGTTGGGATTTGAGAGGTTGAGTTGTTTGTGCCTCTGCGAACTTGTTTGTGCGACAGTAGGCCGAGCCGGAAGGATGATGCCGGCTTTTGCTCCAAGTGGTCCTTGTTCCTTGCATCTTTAGTTGGGCACTTCTTTTTGTGGCCATCCTGGCATCTCACGCAGCCTTTTGCACCACATGTTTGATCTTCGAGGTGACCATGTGGTTCCCGCAAACCGGCCACTTTCAGATGCAAACTGCAGTCTTACCATGCTTCGGCAACTATGCTCACTCATGATGACGATTCAGCTTCTTGAGGATGCCTTGTTTGCTGTACTGTTGTGATGCCCTTCCTCGGTACTGACTTGTGAACTGTGCAAAGCTTCATGGCTGACGGAAGGCCCCGCTGTTGAATCGTTCTCACACGCCTGGACAGATATTCCTTAGACATGACGGCCCCTTGGCGGGAGGGCGGGATGCTGCTGGAGTCTTAGAGCAAAGGCCAGCGGCCAGGTGTAGTGAGCCACACCCACATGGCATTGGGATTCGCTCGCAGGCAGTGCGGCATGCCGCGGTCCCAGCTGAGACGGTTGGGATGGGCCAAAACTTGTGGTGTTGCAATCGCGCCTTGCTCCTGCGGTGTGTCTCCTGCATTGCCTCCGGCCAGAAAGCTTTTCTGGAGCCGCAGGGCTAGCTGACGCATGGACGCATGGACGTGCGGTTGTTCCTTACGCTTCAATCGGGGGTGTGCCGATCCGATCCATTCCCAGGCCGCTGCCAGGTGCGGCCGGGAGGGGTTGACGCGGGACTGATCCGCACCTTGATGGCTCTTTCCAGCGCTACCAAAGCCCAGTGTTGATGATATTAGTTGCTCAATTCCGAGCTATTCCTGGTCCTGTGGGAGGGCGTTGGTAGGACAGCAGTTTCATCCAGATGGTTGAAAGGAAATGTTTTTTTGTTCAGCAGAAGTAGGCCCTGGCCCCACTCCATGACAACCCAAGTTCCAAGTGGCTCATGTGGTGCTTCAAGATGCTCGGCATTGTTGACCCCAAAAAGAATCAACCCCAGTGTACTACTGTAACAGGGCGGTGTCCGATTCTGGGTGAAATGAGGGGAATCAGACCACTTGTGGCGGGACCAAAACCACCCGTTGCTGGGGATGTGATTTTAACATGAAAAATGCTGCAAAACACGGTGTTTTACGGTGTTTTCTGTCAATAAGCAGGGGTTGATCCATATGGGGCCAACATTTTGCGGGGCAACGCCTGTAAACCCGGGCTGTTGCCAGGGCCCGGCCGCGGCAGCCGCTGGCAGTGTCCAGACCCAGCGCTGCGAGGCTCACAGAACTTCCATTCACTTCTGGGGGTGTCCCTGGTCTTAGTGGGGATTTATCACTTTTGGAGGGGCAGGGATAAACAGGGGTTTATTAATCCGGGGTTAGCATTATGTGTTACATTTTCCCCAGCTGGTTTTCAAGGGAATGGATTCGTTTAAGAGCCAGGGGACTGCAGGTGTTAGTCACTCTAGTTCCATGTGGGGTACCATTTTGTGAGCCACACCCACGGATAGATGACAATGCTGGGCATAATTTTAGGTGGTCCTGGGGACGAATAAGCAAGTGGAGGAGAAGCATTGTGAGAGTTGAGACGTGCTGAGGCTTTGCTTGAGACATGTTTGGGGTGAGGCAAGGCCAACCATTCAGATGGCTTGGATGGATGGATGGATGGATGGATGGATGGATGGATGGATGGATGGATGGATGGATGGATGGATGGATGGATGGATGGATGGATGGATGGATGGATGGATGGATGGATGGATGGATGGATGGATGGATGGATGGATGGATGGATGGATGGATGGATGGATGGATGGATGGATGCAGAGTCTGAGCAGATGGCTGAGTGTCAAGCGTGGTGGTGTTTGCACATGGCCCTGCTTTCGGCTTCCTGGTTTACAAAAATTCACGGAGGGGGCCTACGCCTACTTCATACACGCGGAAGCCGCACCGGCTTCCAGAACCGCTTTTGAACCCAAGCCCCAAAAGGAGACCAAGCATTCGCACCCCCACCTTTGAGACAGCCGTTTGGGGTGTGTCTTTTTGTGGTTGGTTTTCAGGGGAATCCAAAGAAAGAACCGTTGCGCCATTTTTGGGGGTTCCCCCCAAAAAGAAACCAAAACTCATAAGCTACGGAACCTTTTCTTAGTGCGCAGATGTTTGTTTTCGTATCTTTCTGCATGTTATTTTTCGTGGCCCGTTTTTCCTACGAACTCCAAAAGCTGTGTCGGCGGCGGCTCGCTTGCGATCGCGCGGCGCGCGGATCTGAGCCGTCGCCAGGGTCTTGCCGTTGTTTGCCTCCACGGCCTGGGCGGGGGCGGCCTTGGTAGCTGCTGGAGGCGTGCGAAAGGGTGCCATCACGATCTTTTTTGTGTGTGTGGTTTTCTTCCTTTTTTTACATAGGTATGGGACCTTCAAAAAGGTTGTAAAACAAAGATGTTGTTTTGTTTTCTGACATGAAGGGTGCTTTTTGAGGGTGTTGCGTTCAAGTGGGGTGAGCGTGTCTGGATGAGAGATGAAGTTCTGCCCTGTGGCTTCCCAGACACATCACCCAACAATATTCGGTATCCACACAGTTATGTTTTTTTTGAATAGAGTCTTTGGTGGTTGTCTTCAGGACGTTGCGTTCTTTATTTCTCAGCTGGGAGGACCATGCAGAACGTAGTACTGTGAGAAGTAACATGTCAGTGACGATACAACAATGAGCACGGGTTGCAGGTGCCGGCCCTTGAGTTGCCACTGCCCTCTACACGATGACCCGCAGAGTGCTTCTTTAAACAACGCTTCTACGTTCCTGCAGTTCCGCGTTGGAGCACCTGACTGAGA